CACCTCGTGCCGCCATGCGGCGCTGCCTCCGTTCTCTCTCTCTTTCTGTCTCGCTCCTCGTGTTTTCGTCCCACTACCGCCAGCTAGAGAGCTCATTCTCTCTCTCTCTCTCTATCTCTCTCTCTCTCTCCCTCTGTCTCTCCTCCTTGTCCCTCGCATTCGCGTCATCCCTTCCGCGTGCACTGTACTCTATCGTTGTGTCTTGCTTCGTTCCATGAGACCCCTAACTCTCCTCACGCCTCTACCCCGCGCCACGGCTATCCTGCGGCCAGCGCAAAGGCGGGGAATTCGGACCGTGGAAGCGAGAACGCGTTAGCAGAAGGGAGAGACCCGATTCTAGTAAGAGACAGTGACATCGTGGGACACGCGGGAAGAACGGAGACGAACGACCGCACACACACACGCATGATCGGCTCCATACGTACAAGAGGCGGATTTATATGCAAGGGCGTTGTTAATGGCGGGAGGGAGTACAGCGAAGGGTGTAAGCTGGCTGCCTCTTTCCCGCGTTATTCCGTCTCTTTCGCGTCTCTCTTCTCTCTTTCTTTCTACCGCTCGCGTTCGGAGTAGTTCTCTCCCTTTCTGTCTCCCACTTTAAATATCGCTTCCTACGATATATAGCTGTCCTCGTTTCTCGCGAACAGTATTTTCATCCCTCTTCGATATCGCGCTCGCGCTCTCCAAGGATAAGTTCGATGTCTCTGTCGTGCGCGCGCGCGCGCGTGTGTGTCTTCCCCCTCTTTGCCATCCTCCGTTCTTCCTTGCTCGTTCACCAGTTTCTCTCTCTCTTCGCCGCTGACTTTGTACACTCACAAGGATGGCCACGATGACGTAATAAAGCACGTGACTATCATTTAGCCAATGGAGAATGGTTAGTTCAAACCTCGCGGGCACCGAAGACCCCACCTAGCAGCTCACCTTCAGGGTTGGTTATCATCGAATGTACATGCAGGATTGAGCCATTACCTGGTGCTTGGCGTTATAGGTATAATTATATAGCGTCGCGATACACATCGAGTAATGGTGATTTGTGGCCGTTCCTCCGCACATATACATACTCAATTCTCTCTGCGGCCACGTGGTAGACACGCTACAATACGGACACTGACGGCTACTATAGACATTTCAGACGTGACGAAATATCGACGCGCGAAATATTCTCAACAATATCTCAATACTTTTTATTTTTGCATCCGCTTTTCAATTAAGAAAATGTTTATCGTATTGTTATAAATTTTTTTTATAATTTATAATGGTTTTCCTTAATTTTTAATCATATGTTTAAAGATGTAATAAATGCGAAAAAAAGAAAAATACGAAAAATCCGTGTACCGAGATTCTACTTTGCAAAAGTCGAAGAAAACTACAGTACAGAGTTCAAAGAATACCATGAATCAGTAAACGTGATGTCTACTGAAATCTCATTCGACGCTACTTGAATAATTTAGAAAAGTCAATTCACACGACATCCCATTAATTTGAATTCGCGCGAGAATAAACTCCGCGCTGCGAAATTGCGTTTCGCCATGCGGCCAATTCCGCTTCTGGCGAAATTTAAATCGAGCCCACCTAAACTCGGCACCGAATTTAGAGCTGGAAGTACCCGGTGGACCATGCGCGCGCTGCACAGTCGCCGCCGGCGCATACATCATCCGATATTTATTTGTCGCTCTTCCTGAAGAATTTAAAGCGTGTGGAAGCTCCTACTTTTTTCGTCGAGCTACAGCAATGAACAGTTTTGGAGAAGATACCGTTATTATGGCGTATGACGCAACGAATGGTATCGCGCGCGACAAGTCCGATATATTGAACAATAAATAATGCCGAGACGTAAAATCGATGAATTGGAGCCGGGACTCCTTTACTTCGCGTGTTTGTTTTGCCGGACAATATTAAATCCGCAAACTGTGCAAATACACAAAACAAATAAAACAGTATATTTGTAAAAAAGAATATAAATCTGACAGATAAGATATATCCTAGAGATTATACTACCTCCCTAGATAGCGAGAAGAATCATATATTTAACAAGTTCTTACAGTTATAGATTTTAAGAGTCAAATACTATTAAAAATTAGCTATAATCAATATATCAAAAACTTTCATAAACTTTCATATTCTCTTTAAATAATTTCATAAAGAAAATTATAATAATACTATATCATCACATTTAATTTAATCATTGTAATTAATCATTGTAATTAATTGTAATTTTTACAATGATAAAAAATAATTGCTGTTCGAGCTGACGTAAGTGTAATTAATATAATGAACTGCGAAGCTACGTGATTGCAGAGACATTTCTGAGAGCTAAGGTGGAGTTAGGAAATGCGAGTATGCATTCGCCGTTTGACGGAATGTTATTGCAGCCATAATCGCAGGCGCCAACAGGTGCGAGCCCGCACAAGCCTATACGCGAGTGTATGTGCACGTATACGCGTGTGTGAGCTTGCAGCAGTGAGCCTGTGTGAGTCAGTATACCTATATTATCGCCATAGGGCAATAAAGACCCCATCCCTATAATCTGTGGCGGAAACAATAACTAAACAGGCAGGCAAGCCAGCCAACCGGCACTGATCCAGTACTAGTCGTTCATAATAGCTAATAGCCACGAGACTGTCAATATTTTGACGCTTTACTTCCACGTATGATCGTTTAATTTTTTATGCTACATTTTTGCTTTTTCATACAAATAATCATTGTGATATGTACGCTGACCATATTTAATTACGTTATAATCTGATATTATAATAATTATGATAATGCCATAAATGTCAAACAATTTAATAGTTTAATATTTCTCCACAGCGCTAAATAAATGAAAAAAAGCTTTACTATTGTATTCTCGGTTTTATATGTAGTATTCGTGTTTCAAAAATGTCTTGACTATATAGCAAAATATATATATAGAATCGTATATGTATATACACACGCGCGATAGAAGGTATATATTCGCAGCATGAGAGATTTCCAACATATCTTTCACCCCGATCTACTTTCTTATCACAGGGAAATTGTCCTGCCTGCCGTGGCAGATCCCCCGACTCTTTCAGCTTTGGGAGGAGAGAGGAAAAAGAGGGTTGGTGAAGAGGAAACGGTGACGAGAAGAGGGAGAGAGAGAGAGAGGTGTCCACTTCTCTAAGGAGCAGTCATACATTACTACTCGCGAAAAAAGACCATCTACAGGACGTTTAATTTCCAAAGCCCTTCCGCCGGCTCCATTCACCGCGCCTCTGAATCCACGGGCATGGCACGAATTCCGTCATTCAGAGCCCAACCCCTCTCACCACTCTCTGTACCTCTTCAGACTTACGACTGCGAGGCACGACGAAAAGCGCCGTCGTGTGCAATCTTCCCCATGATACCACCTCTGACCCTCCAACGTATAGAATTACAGGGGTAAAGAGAGTTCATACTATTACAACAAACGCGCTTATGCTACCGCCATGTGTAATTATAAAAATGTAATGAAATCTTTTAATAAGATTTTAAGTAAATGTTCCTGAAATATGTGAAACACTTGTACGTGTTAAATACTATTTCGCTTTTTTTTTCCTAATGCGTCAAAGAAATTCTGTGAGTAAATTTAAAAAATATATTTTTAAATCTTTCATCACAAATATCTTGCTGCTGAAAAATTCTGCGATGTTACCAACAATATATTATTTCAAGAATATAAATTTTTAAATGTAATTCACAAAATAAAAAAGGTATTCAAGCGCACTTGCTTTAGTAGAATATTATATTAAATAATATGAAAAAAGAACATTTTTTCCTTTCTCCAACGCGCACAAGGAACAATTGTACTATTTTGTTGAAGTAACAAAAAATATTGATACTCCTTAAATTCGCATTAATGTATAATGCGTGATACATTAGTTTCAAACGTTATTAGCTCTCCAATCATGATAGGACATATATGGAATATATTTACATAATTGTAATTGTATATGTATATCATATATCACAATTACGTATATATTTAAATAATAATAGTGGCGGGCACGTTGCATCATAATTATCGTGCATCATTATGCTTGTTTCAAAATTGTTTAATAAAAATTTCAATAGCTAGCTTATCTTCGACCGACAATCACTGCATATATTTTTGATAGTAGCAAAATATGAGATAATTATTTTAAAATAATTGCAAGTGTATTATATTTATAAAAGTAAAAAGATATATTATGGAAAATATACCATATTTAACATATAATAATCATCTAAACAATAACTAAAGATTGTTAGGATGGCATAAAGTACAAATACTTTTTCAGCCACTGTGCAAAAGAATTTCTTTTTGCAAAACATATTATATTTAAAAACCTTTCGAATTGTACAGTGCCCCAAAAAAAAAAGAGAATTATTTGATGAAGCACCGAAAAAACAAAACAATTATATCAACAAAAATTGCTGAATAAGCAATTATATCAATAACCACGGATTTTATCGCACAAATGGCGCAATCGAAACTGAGTTTCAACAATTCGCACTTTGGCAAAAATATCGAACAATCAAATTTGCTGATAGGATTACATAAAAAATATATTTATGTATATTAAAATTATATTGCACATTATATTTTCAAAATATATATTCATCAAAATTTAGTTTCTAAATTCCAAGTTTTTATAATTTACATTCTTTTATACATATATAATTGTTGACATAATTAAAATTTTCAATTTTATAATTTTGAAACTAATAAAATAATGTAAAAAACTTAAACAAAATTTGCCTTTTTTAAAATATAAAATTTGTTAATATACAAAAACTAAAAAGAACGCAACAAATTCTTAACAATATATTAAACTAAAAAATAATAGTAAATATTGATAAACAAAAAGAAATAGATAGTATCATATTTTATATTTTTTATATCAATATTTTATATAAAAAATATGTTGAAAATATAATATTCAATATAATCAATGTACGTAAATATATTTTTTATTTAATCTTATTAATTACACACGCATATATTGAATTAATTCACTCACCAATTGTTGTACCCTAGCTAAGCACATCTTGAATTGTACCTGCAGAAATTAATATACATTATAATAATTAATTGTTGTACACTTTATTAATTATTACACATTAAATAATTATTTCCATTTTGATTAAAACAATAATGTGTAATAAATTGCGTGAATAATAATATAATAATTTTAATAAATATTTAATAAATTTTTTCAAATCTCTATAAATAATCTTAAAACGTAAATTTTAATATATGTGTGTTATTATTAGAAAGAGGATGCGAATGCAATAAATCGCTTGGATGTTTACTTTGAGCACCACTGAACACTGAACGAGAGATAGAGAGAGAAATAATCGTAGCTCTCTATCCTAATCTCTTACTTAGCATTCAGCGACGCTCAGTCTTAGCAACCAAGCATTGTGACAATTATCTATATAATTAAATAATCATAAACAAATAATTATACTCACCAGCTAGGGTATTGTAGTTTGTTCAACCCGCTGCACAGTCCTCCTTAGCCATTTCCATCCGCATTAGCTCCACGCATGAACTGATGAATTCCAGAATTCCTTGCACAAACACACACACATACCACACACTACCGAGCAAAAAGCGACCCGCACTAATGAATTCACAACGCGAGTTAGCTACATCGCAGCACACAAAACACAATCGCGAGATAAAACGCATTTGTGCCATAACAAGTTCACGCATATATGTCGTTATTACTTATTATTATCGCTATACATATTTGGCTGTCCGTACGACATTGTATACATACTCATTCTTAGAGCGAGCGAGACAAACAAAAACTGACCTCGAGAATCAAACATCGGCATATACGGACATGTACACAACAACAATGTTTTACTCGATTTACTCGACTTACTTTCGACGAACGGTTTTTCAATATGGCTATCATTAACGAGAAGTATATCGCGCTTTGATCTACTTGAACTATATTCACCGGAATTATAACCTGTTGTTATCCGCGAGCCGGCCGCCCAGATCATCGATGAAACGTACGCGACATACGATCGATACGCAAACAACCGCGACGAATGATGAATCCCGTCACTTTAATTAACATTCCCGACAAAAATTTGCAATTAATTACAGAGTGTGTTTCACTTTGTAAAGACTTAGCCTCGAATACAGACGCGGTTTAGTAAAGACGTCTACCGTCTATCATCTCACTCGCGTTCCACTTCACGTTCCGCTGTTTTGGTTCATGTTTTGGTCCGCGTTCCGCAGCGAGGCGCGCGTAGCTGTCCTGCCGATGAGTTCATACGACACACAAAGCGCGAACGCTCTGCGTATTTAATCCGATAAAAATGCATAATGAGTGCGAAGTTTTGTCCGAAATGCTGATTAAAGTGACGGGAAATTGCCGTGTTACGTTTCGTCAATCGTTTAGTTGCTGGATCGTGAATTAAAATAGATACACAATCCCAGTGAGTATAAATTGCGATATTATACGCGCAATGTATTTTCATTAGATAAATCATGTTGAAAATTTCAATGATAATTTGGTTTCAATTTCGAAATGAAATTAAATGATAAAATGTAGTTGTTATAAATATTTTTAGATACTTGACAATCCGTGACTGCCGAAATAATCGTCGTACGTCTACTTCGGAGTGTGTATACAATGTCGAGTCGAACATGTGTGGGGTTATGATAATTGGACAATTAAGTGCGCGAACGCGTTGAGGCATGATACGTCTTATTTCCTTGCATTTCACATTGCCTGCAACATGGCAAATTCGCGACGTGAATTCGTGATTTTCGAAAGTAAAAAGTGCGCGAGTTAACTTCCGTTCAGTGTGCGTGTGATAAATTATAAGTGAGAATTTCTAGTATTCATATGGTTCTTCGGTGCAGCTCATGCGGAACGGTCAAGGAATTTGCAACGGGTTAGGCAAATTGCGACCCTAGTCAGTGAGTAGAATTATTTATTCATTATCAAACATGTAATTAATTATGATACCTAAAGTCGAAACGAGAATGCTAACACGGTGTATTGCTCAGTTCCTTGCGCTGAGCGCCGTGCAAAACAAGAGGTAGCGATGAAGAGCTACGATTATTTCCCTTTCTTTCTATCCTTTCTTTCTATCCTTTCGCTCAATGTTCAGTGGTGCTCATTGTCAATCAGAGCAAACAAATAAACAATACTCCGCATTAGTATTATCGTTCAAAATTTAATGATAACATACTATACATATACAATAGCAATTTGTATTTATTAATCATTTAATAAGATGTTCAAAAATATTTATTAAAATATTTATAGAATAGTCTTAAAATTTTTTAAATAAATTATTCACGCAATTCATTGCATATAGTTATATTTTAATTAAAATGAAGATAATGTAATAATAATTAATCTACATAAAGTATATGATAATTTACAGTAACTAAAATATATATTATTTTTTTCAGGTGTAACTAAAGATGTATTTAGATAGGCTACAACAATTGGTGAGTAAATTCTTATTAAATTTAATCGTTCAATTTTTGCAAAAAAGCAAATTGTCAAAGCACAATTTTGAATACGCAGTTTGGTGCGATATCAGTAGGAATGGAATTGAAACAATTGTTTATGTAACAATTAATTGATTCGTTTTCGTAACGCGTGTTAAACTAAACGGTTCTTTCTTTTATCGGATAAAAATTCGAGTCTTTAAATATGATACGCGAGGAAAAGTCTCTCTTGAGAGCAATAGATAAAAAAGTATCAGTACATATATTACATTTCGTTCATTATAGCCTCCAATTATATACATTACATTTAAACAATCTATAATTATTGCTCAGTTTTATAACTCACAATTATGACATAAAATGCATTTTATTTGACATTCGCATTTTGTGAATTCGCAAATTCGTAATTTTTGAGAGTAATTTGCATAGTTGATTTTCGTTTAGTATTATATGCGTAATTGTAATTATAAGCACGGATTTTTATCAATTCATTGATGAAGCTGATGCGGAGCAGTCTTAGGCGAATGGAATAAATTCCATTACTTTCTGGTACGATTATTTGTTCATTATTTTACGTATCATTAAAATGTACATTTAAAATGTATATAATTTGTGATAATATATATAATACATAATATATATATATATATAATACACAGTTAATAATCAGTATATAAGAAATTGATTCTATATATATAGAAATTGATATATAATACGTTATAATATTATGTATATATTCTTTGCGTCAATCTGGAAGTTAGATATCAACCGATATTAAAACATATTTACTTTCCGCGCCATTAAATGCCGCGATTTTTGCCGCAAGCAATCATGCGAGTTTTAAAAATCGTTGGGTTAACTTAACGGCGCTATAAAATCTAGATTCTGGCGGCACGCGCACTCATCCCCGTTGCCACCCGCTCTGTGGAGTAACCCTCCGCGAATCTCCACACCACGATAACCTAGCGACACTTCTTCCGCTACGTATATCCTCATTTGTCCGGCGTGTTTTACAACTCGACTCTCGCTTCACGACCGCTAAACGTGACGGATGTCTAGATTCACATTCTCCTACAAATCATGAGCTTGCAATCTACGCGTATATAGTTTCACGCGCTCAACTTTGGCAAGATATATTGAATTACATGATGGCAATAACTATATTTTCTTGTTCTGTAGAACGATCAGATAACCCTTATATCAATTATTTTACTTGCAAAAAAAGTAAAATAGCAATTACTGTACTATAAATTTGTGATCCAATTGTTGCTTTATTTCAAAAATTTATCAGTGCATCATAATGCAATAATTTTGCTTTGCACAAAAAAGATTCTTAAAGAATGTGCTATTATCAACATATATATCTACTATATACATTTCATAAAGAAAAAAAATTGTATAAATTTAATTAAAAATTTAAATATTATTTATTGTAAAATCTTGATTAGGAAAGAATGCTTTCACTACAGCACGCTTCCGCGACAACTATTATGAAATAATGTTATTTAAAAAAAAATAGCGCAATTTTTATGACAATTTTTATAAAGGGAGGGAAGAAATGAGATTTTAAGTACTTTGGCTTGAGGCAACTTGAGAAAGGGTGTTTCTCAAGACGCTACCGGAACTGCCTCTTGTTTACAATGGGAAACAAAGTTTACGCGGTCGGAATTAATCTTCGAGCAAGGCGTCCGTGGGGTCTCCAAACGGCGTCAGGATCAGCAAGATCCCTAATGAATCTAGGCAAAGGGCCCTCGAGAGTCGGGATCTTGACTTTTGAGTGGGTACAACCAACTTCGGCTCAGATGTTGGTCTCGCGGTAGCCAAGACTTGGTCTCGAGTTTCCAACGAGCCAAGGAGTACCTTCCATGTTCCATGAACTTTCGAATGTTCGCATTTACCCACGCATCCAACTGTGCGGAAGCTGTGGATTCCACGCTATAGTTGCAGATAGATATATTTCTTATTCTTCTTTTTTCCTCTTTCGTTTAGTATTCCCTCTGATTCGTTAATTAGCTAACATGGCTCTGCTTAATTTTGAACGATGTATTCTTGATTTTTGTACAAATTTTAAACAATATGGGCAATGTATATTAGATCTTGATTAATATACATTTCGACTGATTTTAATAAACAAATATATAGATTATGGAAAAAATTATATTTACAGGTTTCAGTTTAGAATGCTATTTGACGATGCTTCCGTGTACGCTTTATCGTCTGTACTCAACGTAATTATAGTCATACTTGTTGACCGCGTCCATTTTCACCATGATGGTTACGAGTTGGTTGCATTATGGTTGACCGAACGATTTGATGTTGCTACCGCAAATGTAACCGCAGACCGATGTTAATATTCACTTGGTTTTGTAGTTGTCAGTATTCACGTAACTATTCACAGACTTTCTAAACACCAAGTATACATTCTTTCACGAGTGCCTAGATTATATTTCATTAATCCAACAATAAATATGTAGTATGAATAGATAAATATTACTCTTTTTACAACAGTTTAAATTAAATAAGATTATAATTTTTAATATGAAGAAAGTCTCTGAAGTGATTATAATGTCGGTTATAAATAAATGAGGCTATATCAGAGGTGACAAAATGCGCGGGTGGCGATCAAACGCACGTGAGTGTTTCTCATGCATAAATAAATGGTGGCGGAGCATGGAATTATCGGTTCCGACCTGCCACCGCCAACATCGTAGGCAGATAGTGTATATTCCCGGTCGCGAGGGTCTTCATCTTTCCCTCCTCTCGCCGCCCACTCGCGAAGACATGCCCAGGTACCATCGAAGTAACGAGGGGAGCGAAGATGGGTTAGAGACAGAGAAAGAGTATAAAGTTCTTTGGACACACGGGCACGGCGCATACGCAACCACGGTATCAGGTATAGCGCAGTGGCAAGCCAGCGTGTTGACGATAAATCATGGGTTACCACATTGTAGCCCAGTAAATCATCGGACGCGGGGAACGCGAGAGCTTCCCAGCGTGAAATGAAACGAATTCATCTCTGTCATCCCCCACTACGTGCACCCATCCGCCTCTCTTTCCACTCCCTTTCCCTCTCTCGCGCTCCCACTGTCGCTCTTTCTTCCGCTTCCTCCCTCCGGCTCACCCTTCTCTGCACCTCATCTACCACCATCCCTCAATTCGTCCCCACCATGCCCCCGCCCGCGCGTCCGCGCGTGTTTTCTATCCTCCGCACGCAACTGGCTAGGGTGGATAGTTATATATAATACTTGGTCCCACCCACCTATCCCCATTCACAGTCCTTTCGAGAGGATCGTCAGGAATCTTTCACGCAAACGAATTTTTCTCGGTCAACACGTGACGCTCTTCCGATTATCTCTTTACTCACTCGCTTCTTGTACGATTTCTGCATCTCTTTTCATCTCAACATAAGACCATGGTTTTATAACTAGCACGTTTAACGCAAGTGTATCGATATTTTAATTATTGCACAAAAATTATTGCTATAAAATAAAAAAAATTTTTAAGAATTTTAAAAGCACGATGCCATGCGTACATGTCATATATATGACTGTTGAATAAAGAATGGATGCATCTATTTCTATGCGCTATTTCTGAAAATATTTTTCTTTTTATTTTTAATGATTTGCAGAGTATAAACACAGTCTCTCTCTGTCCTACGTTCAACAGTAGGCTTTTCATTCCATATTCGAACGT